TAAACACTAATAATAATCATAAAAAGGCGGTAACGAGTGATCGATGATCAGGCCGCAGAGACTAGACCTACTGGAACAGTGACAAAGCTGTTGCGTAGCCGTGTTCCCACTCCCACACAAACTCTTGACTCGAGCTCTTGAACTTGAGCACATGTTCTCTCTTACGGCTGTTGATCCACCTCTTGCTTCCAACAGACGACGAGGCGAGCTGTGCAAAGGCCAGAGAATCATTACACCCGGTGATGAATCCTTCTTTATACCTCCAGTGCTCATATTTGGCATTGCCATTTTGAGAGTCCCAGTAGCTGCAGTGTTCCGAGAACTTCTGTTCCAATGTTGCGTACAAGTCACCATCGCTTAGCGCCTTACACTGGCCATTGGTTAGACACTCACGCTCACACATTGGCACAAACCCCCATTCTCCCCCATCGCCGAATTTGAACTTGTACGTCCAGAAGAACGCGCCCATGGTCAACTTCTTAAACAGCTGTGACTCTGTCTGGCCGTACTGTTTGACCAGCTCATCCCGGGACGCGCCCTGGGATTTATCCCACGACTGCGTGTCCAGCACGCACGAGTACTCGCCGACTATGATGTCGTTGTCCTTGTCTCCCCAGTGGTTCAGCTCCTGAGATAAGTCTCCAATGATCTTGTCCACGGCCTTGTCACGGTCCCTCTGATCAAAGCACCTATAAACGTGTGTGTCTATAACGATGCCTGATGTTGTGCTGTCATCCACTGAGTGCTTATCAAGCCACTCGTTCCAAAGGTTCAGATCCCAGGAGTCTGAGATGATTATCGGCATTGTTGGGTCCAAGGCTCTAATCGCATTGATTGCCTTGCCAACGAACTCTTTCTGGGCATCCAGGTCACAGTAGTCATTCTCATTGGAAAGCTGTAGGCCAAAGATGTTGGTCAAGCCGTTAGCCAGGAACTCCTTGGTGACAAATTCGTATAATTCAATCACCAGCGACTGATACTTCTTGGACTTCCAGAACCCAGCGTCCGATAACTTCATGCCACTGTGCTCATTCTTATTGGCACCCCCTGGTAGCCCGTGCAGGTCGAACAAGATGGCAATGTCGTTAGCATCAGCAGTCTTGCACAGCTGCTTGAAGCTTTCCCACGCAGCATCCCCATAAACTTGAGAAACACTTTCAAATGGCGTACCCCTTGTGAAGCCAGGGCCAACGTGCCAGTACCCCATTGGCACTCGCAAACAAGTTGTGCCTTGATCTCTCAGCCACTCCCAGTCGATCGAATCGATGTAGCTTCTCCAATGGCGCTGCAGGTCCTGTCTCGTCTTCTCAACGCCGTTCACGCTGATGTAGTTCGTCACACCATCAAGCTCGGTCTCAAACCCTTCTCTGATAAACGTGTCGTCAATGTACTTCTCCTGGACATACAGACCACCCAGGTTCACACCAAACTGCTTCCGGTTCCGTAGGATCTGTATCTTTGACGGTGGCTTGCTTTCCCCAGGGGTGATGTCCTGGCACAAGGGCAGCTCTGCGTGTGAGTGTAGCTTCGTCTTTATCTTAGAGAACATCGCGTGTGTATCTCCATAGAAGGCGGAACCAGGTATTAAACAAGGCCGTTAGAAGCAATCTTGATTCTTTGGCTGATGTCTTGTACCACACACCCACACAGGCATCTGCGGCTGTGATACCCGGAGTTAGCCGGGTTTAACGTGTCGGGGTTGATTTGTCCTTTTGGTCCATGCGCGTACTTAAATTCGAGACAAAGGGGAAAATGTCCCGATCGAGAATTCTGTGAGTATTAAACAACACTTTCAAACCCTTTACAAACCCTTTGCAATACTCGTTAGAAGCTTTAGTTACACTCTGTTTGGAGCCAATGACACACCCAGCCAAACGTCAGAGACAGCGAATCTCGTTGGTGTGTGCTTATTGCAAGAGAAGAAAGATCAAAGTGAGTATGCCAGACACATAGGCTATATGTCCTCCGTTGGCTGAGGAGAAGCACTAACAGCTGAGCCTATACAGTGCGATAGGGAAAGGCCGTCGTGTGCAACGTGTAAGAGACTAGGGATTGGGTGCCATTACAATGACACCTCACACTGGGTCCATAGCACGCCCGTGGTGGATGGTGAGTGTGTGGATATTGGCCGTGAAGCTGCGGACTTTGGTGAACAGCAGCAGCATCAACAGACACAGCAACAGCAGCAGGTACCACAGCAAGCATCACAGCAGCAACAGGCACTGTCGTACTCTACTAAGACCCCCACGGAAACGGTGCAGGACCAGTCTCTTGTGGAGTCCCTAAGGGAAGAAGTGGAACAGTTGAAGTCCATGTTGACGGACAAGAAAGCGGCAGATGATGATGAGGATATACGGATCAACTACTTCTCACAGTACAACTCCCTGTCGTTGAAGAGGTCCTCCCATGAAGACCACAAACCTCTCTGTCCGGTCACACTGCACAAGCGAGACCACTACGTTGCCTTCTTCGTGTGCTATCTATTCCTGGCGTTCAAGATCTCGTCCGATAAGAGAGAATACCCTCACATGTCGAAATGGATCAAGCTGCTGGACCTGGAACATGACGACAAGCAACTCAAGGAATTCGTCAACGATATAGTCCGTGATAGGCCCATGGTGAAGACACTGCACGTGATGGGCACGTCCTTGGATAAGGAGTCCTTGGTGGAGGAGATCGTGAGCATATTGCCTGATTTCAACGTGACACACTGCTATCTGAAGGTGTTTCTGCAGAACTTATGGATCTATAGGCCATTTCTTGACAGAGATACGTTCCTGCTGACCATTAACAGAATCATCGTCAAGGATGAAAGATCTCCAAAGAGGCTCAGGCTCGTCCTGACAGAACGAGACGATATTGCCGTGATGTCGATGTTCATCATCCTGCTGAGGTATACCTATGTCTTTGTGAAGGTTATGGATGCAGACAAGATCACAGATGAAGACTACCTGACCATTCTACAACACCCGACCGGTGCGATGGTGCTGGCAACTGCGTATAGATGTCTATCTGAATATAACATCTTTAGAAAAAGCACATTGACAACATTACAGGCCCTGGTGTATCTCAAGTGTTACTATAGGGATTCGCCAGAGGACTGTGATGGGATGGGCTTGTTCAAGTCGCAGAATCTGTTTGGAGTGATACTACAATCAGCGTTACAGATGGGGCTGAACAGAGATCCTTCCTTCTTCAACCAAATCAGAGATAACGTTGCTGAGTGTAATCTGAGAAGATGTATATGGCACCATCTGACAGCCATTGATGCGTATACCTGTGTTGTGTCTGGCTCACTGCCAATAGTCCCAGACCAATCGTTTGTCGATGTCCAGTTCCCACTGATGGACTCGATTGACGAGCTGGCTCACTTCCAAAGAGATATGATCATCAGAGCTACAACGATACATAGATTGTACCTCAAGATCTCCAAGTGTGTGAACAATGTCAAGGAATTCACCAGTTTGAACGAGCTGACGAGGCTACTCCAGGAGTCCAGAGAATATGCCGATTCTGCCCTGAGCATTGAGTCCATGGTGGTGCTAACCTCGTCTAATGAGAAATACGGCAAGAGACTGAACGGCTATTGTCTAACTATACAACTGATACAGGCGATGGTGGAGGCACAGGTATCGTTCCTCACTGGACTGCACTTTGAGTCCAATAGGTATGTCGATATACCAAGGTATTTGAAATACTGTACTTTGACAATTGGATCCATCTGTAAAGTGGTGGACTTGTCATGTGCCTATCTCACGGGCGAATTCGACGACAGAGTACCACAGGAGTGCAATTTTGAAACAATGCCAGTGATTATAAGTGGGTTTGAAAGAGCACTGATTACCTGTATTGCCATGCTTTTACGGTTCTACCAACTCAGAGAGGTTCTTACGTCAAAGAATGGGACAAATGGGTTAACAGTTGACTATGTCGATTGCCAGATTAACAGGGTGATCGTGGTGTTTGACCTGATCCTTGACTTGGTGAAGAACAAGCTGGCAACCAAGTACTACTCCGCACTGAAGTTCCTGTCCTTCTTCAAATACGCAGGCATCATCTTGAGAACTCATAAGTTCAATGCCATGCTCAAGATTGTCCGATTCCTGGAGTCTAACGAGAAAGATGGGTTGGATGGTGATGTCAAGATCTCACAGTCCAAGAGAGAGGACATCAGAAAGGGGTTCCAGAGGGTTCATTCCCTGATCAATCAGAATACAGAATGGATGCAAGTGTCGAGTTTCGGCAAACGATCAAGCAGCACAAAGGAAAAGGACACTGTTCACATTGTCAATTTTAACAATTCTAACCTCATGTTGGATATGAACAAGGATCAATTCCAGTATATATGTGATGCGTTTATACAGTTCAAGTACTCCTCCTATCTAAAGGAGAAAGTGGCCAACGGCGAGGTCGATAGCATGGCTCATATGACAGCTCCGGTTGTACCAACAGAGGATGAAGTTGAGAGACTGGTTGTCAGTAACGATTCTGGTGACCTGATTGATCCCTTTAACCAATTGGAGCTATTTCTCATGGATGATGACCTCTTTGACCAAATGATGGGCGAATACCAGAGTTGACAGCGGAGTGTACGGCGTACAATCATTGAAATATACGTAGCACACTGTCCAGCTTGGTCAACATCTCTTCCCACTCTCCTTCAGGGTCGCTCAGGACGGTGATTGCTCCTCCAGCACCGATTTTCCAGAGATTTGTATCACGAGTGTTCTTCAGGTCATCTTTATAATGGAACATTGAACGGATAATGACGCTCCAGTCAGCATTGTTTTCTATTGACCAGTAACCACACACGCCAGAGTAGAGTCCTCTTCGAAGAACCTCCAGTTCTTGGAGTATCTCCACAGATCTTTTCTTTGGTGCACCAGTCATGGAGCCAGGTGGTAGGGATTGCGATAAGATATCGATACCCGAGTAAGCACTACCTTTGAAGTGGCCTTGGATGACAGAAACCAATTGGTAAACCGTTGAGTATTCCTCCACCGACATGAGCTTTGTCACCGAGACTTTCTTCAGCAGTTGATACAAGTCATGTCTGATCAGATCCACAATCATTAGATTCTCTCCTAATTCCTTTGGTGTGTTTAATATCGACTTGGCTCGCTCGTACGTCATGTCGACAGTCTTCTTAACCGTGCCCTTGATTGGCCTCAACTCACAGGTTTCGTTGTCCCATGAGAGAAATCTCTCTGGCGAAGAGCTCAAGAGAACACAGTCGTCAAAGTTGAAATAGGCAGAGTAAGGTGATGGGTTCTTCACGGTCAGTACTTTATAGATTTCCCACGGGTGTATATTAGCTGGTATGCCAATCTCCGTTGGCACAGTGAGGCAAAGCTCATACGAATCACCTGAGCGAAGTAGCTGCTGGCACTTGTTGAAATTAGACAGATAGTTGGCCTTATCAGGTTTGTTGATGTACTCTGCGTGTATCTCGTCGAGATGTGTGGCTTGAGTTGGAAAGTTGAGTAGCTCTTCGATCTCTTGGATGTGCTCTGCAGAGTTCAGAGACGTTATAAAGGTCTCACCTGTGGAGTTGTTCATCAGGATGCACTCTTCAATGAATACCAGCTTTGTATCTGGGACATTGGAGCTTGAGGTGACCCGTGGAAGCTTTTCCAGCTGGACAAAGTGGCCCTCTTCGTATGAAAACAGGCCTAAGAATCCACCTATGAAGGGGAACTGTGAGGTCTTTGGCACAATGTGGGAGGACATGGTGTCTGATAAGAACGACCATATTGAGGATATGTCCTCTTCCCACGATTCTCCGTGTTGCTGTAGTGAGACTTTGTCATTTGATTCCGTTGAGTGTGTAATTCTCAATGACGCTTTAGAAGGTAGTCCAATTATAGACCAATTCCCAGGCGAAGAGGCCGAGTTTAATAACATGAACTCTTTACCACGCTGGAAGAGTAAGTCACAGATTGTGACAGGGGACGATGAAGTCGGGATCAACTTTTGGTGGAGTTTCAACGGTTTGTCCAGCTTTGGAGTCAGTAGAGGCTCAATGTTGATCTTACGCAGGAGCATTTCAACAGAACCTGGGTCTTCATAGACAGTTCTGGATCTCGATTCGTTATACTTTCCAGCCAATGAGAGGAAATTAGAGACCAAGGTGGAGCCAAAGGTGGAACAAATCGACTCTGGGTGGTATTGCACTCCGTACCAGGGTTTAGTCTTATGCTTTACAGCCATAATCACTTCAGTCCCGTCAGGTTCCGTTGTATAGGCTAACTTCTCCAGAGAGTCAGCCAATGGATCAGCAACGTGTAATGAATGGTACCTCACGGATTCAAAGGATTCATCAATACCATCCAATAATGGATCACCATTATGGGTTACTTTATACACCTGGCCATGCTTAACATCGCCCAGTTCTTCAATTGCACAGCCTTGTGACAGGCACAGCGACTGAAACCCCAGGCAGATACCCAGCAGTGGGATATCTTGCGTGAAGAGCCACGGAATAACGCCCACATCTCCATCAACTGATGGGTTTCCTGGGCCTGGGCCTATAATGACACCTTTGAATAGGCCTAGGTAGCTTTGAAGTTCATGTTGAGGCACTTGGTCGTTGTGTATGACCAACACGGTCTCCCCGGTTGCCTCCTCCACCAAAGAGCGTAAGTTATACGTGAAGGAGTCATAGGAATCGATGAGCAACAGCATTTGTTATATCCGTCTCTCCACTCTAATGATCGTTTTAATACTCTAACAAGTAATTTGGTAGGCTAAAATCTTCAAGGCGATGAGCATCTTCGTTCTTGAGGCGGCCAAATGTCCCAAAAAAAATACGACTTTAAAGTTTCACGCGCCACTCTTGGTCCAAGCGGGCAAGGACAAAATAAACAACATCTACGACTAAGACGTTTGAGACATTTAGCTTGTTCTGACTAAACGTCAAAAAGAAAGAAGAAAGGGAGGTCTCGACCATTGTTTATGAGACCATGATTGAAGTTGTTGTGAACGACCGGTAAGTTAGCCACCCTCTCCTGCTAAACAAATGATCGTGGTCCTACTGACTAACAACCGTGAAGTGTTGGTAAGAAGGTCCGTGTAAAGGCCCTTGAAGAGGACCTTGTGGGTGATTTCAAAAAGTTGCTAGCTGTGCAAATCGGCACAGCAGCCGGGAAGATTGCACTAAAGAAGGGGAATACCACGTTGAAGGACCATATAACTCTGGGGGATTACGAAGTACACAACGGGACAAACCTAGAGTTGTACTATAGTTAGTGGTCTACTCATATAATGACAATGATAATTCACAGGAAGTATTCAATATGCTGGGCGTTTGCCGTGTCACCACCAACAACTTCACCAAATATATCCTCCTTCGGCCATTGGTCTTTGTTCTCTGGTGCCTCGTCGAAAACGTTGAAGTAGTGTTGATCCTTGTTGTAGATCTCCATAACTGATGCCTTATTGCCGCATCTATAGCAATAGTTGGGCGCAGACCAAACCGTGGTTACTAATCCGTTGAAATATACCTGGTAACCTTCATTACACAGCTGATGGGCCCTTAGAATCTTGTCCATTGAATTCATCGAGAGGAATTTCTTCACAACATCAACTCCAAACGTGTAACCTGCACCTCTTGGTGATAGTGAAAACCCGCTACTCTCTGTGTCTGGATCTGACCACACGAGATCTGCCATTGCGCCCTCGTGTGGGATCTCTTTGAACCGGTCTATAAGCCTCAGTTGGTCCAAAGTGTGCACGTTTGGGGACAGTCCACCGTGTATGGCAAATATACAGTTGTCGATCATTGCGCTCAAGGTTAAGAAGTCAAAAATGTCCGTGAAGAGATGCCACACCGTTGCGTTGCCATATTTCCTCATACACTCGGTGTAGAACCCATAGTTTTGCGTGATCTGTCTAGATTCGTGGTTTCCTCGTACCAGCGTCACCCTGTTGGGATGTCTGATCTTCAAGCATATCAACAACGTTATAGTCTCAACGCTGAACATGCCTCTGTCGACGTAGTCTCCGAGGAAGAGGTAGTTCGTGTCTGGACAGTACCCGCCAATCTTGAATATCTCAATCAAGTCGTAGAATTGGCCGTGGATATCACCAACAACCGTGATTGGGGATTGCAACTGCATGATGTTAGGCTCATTTATCAGGATTTCCTTCAGCTTGAAGCACAACGCCTTCAGCGTGATCTCCGGTAACAGCTGTCTCTTGTAGAGAAGCTCGATGCATTCATCAAGATCAGTGATTGCTGGGGGCGTTTCATGGTTAGTAAATAAGGGCTGACGGGCGAAGCAGACGGTGATCTGAAAAAGTTGAGCATACCACCAAGGTCCATCCTTCACACTGTGGGTATTCGAAGCGGGATACTTCCGTGTAGCTGTGAACAGTAGGCTTAAAGGTGTGTACTATGAGAGTGAAAGCGAAAGCAAAACAAAGCGAACACAAAGGGCAATAAATATCCCAATATGGTAATTTTCCCGATGTGGAGTAGCTTACAATGCGAGAGGCCAATCTCTTCACGATGTTAGATACAACAAAGCCTACAATGTTCTGTTGTAGTTTCTATTGTTGTAGCGAATATATCTTGGCTTATTGATTCAGGCTCTGTGGTATGTGCCCTGGATCTGAGCTTTATACTGAGCGTTCGTTCCGTTAGGGTAAATTCAGTCTTCCGATTAACGCTAGTCTGAGTACGTAACGTTGTGAAAGAATCTAACGTGAAATCCTGGGATTTCATTCTCTCTTTTATATCTTTCAACTTCTTCTCAATCTCTGTCCGAGTTCTATTGACTCTTCTATTGTGTTCTGTAGATCTAGTCATTCTGTTCGGCTTATATATGAACTGTTCTTGATGACGTAATCTGATCTATCACCCGATTCTGAAACCTCACGAAACAAGAAACATCCGTGATAGTTTAGTGGCTAGAATTACCGCTTGTCGCGTGGTAGACCGGGGTTCAATTCCCCGTCGCGGAGTTTTTTTTTGCTAAAATTGAAAAAAACACAAAAACACGTGCGGATTATATAAACATCCAAACACCACGTAAAAATTCCCACAGATGAACCATCTTTTGCATGTGATCTTGCAAAAAACAAACGAAAAAAAAACCGTTTAAACTGTGGCGTCTTCATCATGTTCGTTTAGCGAAAATTTTCACATGTCGAGCAAAAAGAATTCGTCTTGGGATAGCGAAAATTTTCAACTTACATAAATAAAAATTTCCCACGTTTCTTTCTCCCCTTCTCTCACCCTTTTCGCTCTTCTTTCTTCACAATTCTTTCAAGAGTTTTTATCATCTCCTCGTTTCCTTCTCTTTAAAGTAAATTGCAATGTCTGCTGCTGCTGAAACTTTCCTCTTCACCTCCGAGTCTGTCGGTGAAGGTCACCCAGATAAGATCTGTGACCAAGTTTCCGATGCCATTCTCGATGCTTGTTTGGCTGTTGATCCGCTCTCCAAGGTTGCCTGTGAGACCGCTTCCAAGACTGGTATGATCATGGTTTTCGGTGAGATCACCACCAAGGCTCAATTGGACTACCAAAAGATCATCAGAGACACCATCAAGCACATTGGTTACGACTCTTCTGATAAGGGCTTTGACTACAAGACCTGTAACGTCCTTGTTGCCATTGAGCAACAATCCCCAGATATTGCTCAAGGTTTGCACTACGAGAAGGCTCTTGAGGAGCTCGGTGCCGGTGACCAAGGTATCATGTTTGGTTATGCCACCGATGAAACCGATGAGAAGTTGCCATTGACCATCTTGTTGGCTCACAAGTTGAACGCTGCACTTGCTGACGCTAGAAGATCAGGTGCTTTGCCATGGTTGAGACCTGACACCAAGACCCAAGTTACTGTTGAGTACAAGAAGGATGGTGGTGCCGTCATCCCACTCAGAGTTGACACCATTGTTATCTCCACTCAACACGCTGAGGAGATCTCCACTGAGGACTTGAGAAGTGAGATCATCAAGCACATTGTCCAAAAGGTTATTCCAGAGCACTTGCTCGATGACAAGACCATCTACCACATCCAACCATCTGGTAGATTCGTCATTGGTGGTCCACAAGGTGACGCTGGTTTGACCGGTAGAAAGATCATCGTTGACACTTACGGTGGATGGGGTGCCCACGGTGGTGGTGCCTTCTCCGGTAAGGATTTCTCCAAGGTTGACAGATCCGCTGCTTACGCTGCCAGATGGATTGCTAAGTCCCTTGTCCACGCTAAGTTGGCTAGAAGAGCTCTTGTTCAATTGTCCTACGCCATTGGTGTTGCTGAGCCATTGTCCATTTACGTGGACACTTACGGTACCTCCAAGTACACCTCTGAACAACTTGTTGACATCATCAAGGGTAACTTTGATTTGAGACCAGGTGTCGTTGTCAAGGAGTTGGACTTGGCTAGACCAATCTACTTCAAGACTGCTTCCTACGGTCACTTCACTGACCAATCCAACCCATGGGAACAACCAAAGCCATTGAAGTTCTAAAGATTCCAAATTTGGCATCAACAACAAGAAATAATTAACGACCCCATAATGACTCATAAAGAAAACATGGTGCATTCGCTCAACTCGGTGCACAAATAACTTTTTTACTTCGCCCTTTGCTGCTTTTTATTGCCTTGCATTAATGGTTTCTCTACTTTTTTTTCTTTCTTTCCATCATTACCACTAATACTGGTGTGTATATCTGGTTACCCTCTACATACATATATAGAATAGTGTATAGTCCCTCAACAGGCACTCATAAAAAGGTCATCAATTCATTCGTTGTAGGTTATAAGGACAAGCTAGCGTATATCCACTTTCCTAAGCACTGTCTGGTTGACATGATGATTAACATGTATTCTGTTAGTAGTGCCTTAGGTCTCAAAATTAACTGTTCTATTGTTTTATTATGACGGCTACTTATAGTTCTTTCACTAATTGCCACATTTTTCTGTGATCTTTGATACTATGATATATTAAAAACAGTAGTCTATATCATTTTTTCTGTATAAAATTGGACAAGTAGCCTGAGTTCAGTGTATGATATCTTTTCTCACAATATTCAACATAAATAATGACAAATTTGATAAATATTATATAATTACTCGGTACTTACGTCTGAATATGGTTAATATACTTGTACTAATAGCACACAACTGATAACATCCCGAACTTACCGAGGATTCGTTTATGACCAGCTTGAAACACATGTATCGACCAATATGGATTGGAGGTGATAGTTTACTATGGCGATTTGGGACACACCCGGACACCAAACGTGATCAGCTTGTACTGTGTGCGTTGTGGGTTCTAAGATCTTCAAGCCGTGGTACACGATCGACTAGTCTCAACAGCAGCGAGCTAAACGTGATTCATACAAGAGGATATGATCAATGTTTTCATTATAAAAGAACATTTGATGTTCTAAGAGGAACGCGTATATAAGTGATATTATCCTATTCGAGCATGGCCGCATCCAAACACCAAGTGTAGCCTCTGGCGCGTGCCCACACACACTGCAGGTGGTAGCGTACTCTTCGTGATCAGTGAGATTATCCATAGATCAATCAGTTGACCACATTAGTCATGCGACTAGTGTCGGGAGGAACGATCAGCCAACAACGACATCAAGTACCATTTATTTACCAGCAGCAACGATACTATTTGCGCAGCGTCGCCTACGAACCAGAGAGGCCAATTCATGTTGACGACCACGCTAACCAGTTCACATTGCACTCAGTGGATTTGTTCCCATGTCCTTGCACTATACCACATAATGACCACAATGTAATCCTCAGTGTTTTATGGCAAAGTTGTTGATCATGTATAAGACTCTACACCTCAATCTAACCGTCGATGTTCAACACCACATGGAACGCTGCATCTAAAATTGCAATCATTTCACCAAATACGTTCGCACATGATCTGCTGAACAACTTAGAACACAGCGATATGTGTCAATCATACAACGTTGATACAAATTCGTAGTACCATTCCAAAGGCATCTGCGTTGACTAACCGCATCATTTTCTGTTTCTCACAGTAGCCAGACGTGACACCTGCATGATCACTAAGTGGTCAGTGATCAAAGTACGCAATGTGGTTTAGGCGCTAATCTTCAAAGTTGCACTCCACCTCTCTCGCGTGTTCTGTTTCAGGATGATTACATAATCCCGTGCCCTGAATATGCGGTACGCGAGGCTGAAAACAAGTAAGATGGACATCACGAAGCAACTTGGGGCAGTTGGGCAGTGAATTGTGCACGTTGTCCGGGCCAGCTTAGGGGTCAGAAGCACCACGCTGGCACGTTATAAAACCATCACATGTCATCCAGATTACCATCGGGGGTATTGGACCTTGGTATTTGACCAAAGAAGCAACCATAATCTGCTCGATTCCTCCCACACGGTTCTAAAACGCGGTTTGCCATGATCCCAAATAGTCAATATTGACAGCTGACGAGTCTCCCGGGTATTATGAAATCAACAGTGTAACGAGAAGCCAAGGGCACTGGTTCTTGCTACAACGGCTTCTGGCGATCGATTCTTACGGTAAAATACCTCAGAAGCTACATGTATGCTTCTCTTCAACCGCAATGATTTCTTGACGAACGTGGTCCACGTAGGAATCCTCTTTCCGTTGGTCTTCCTTTGACCCTTTAAACGATGGGAAATCTTCATGACGTTACACGTACGACTAAATCGTACGAAAGATAAGAGCAAAGCACACAGTGTTCCCCCAAATCCACTCTGAAATTGGACTAACGTTGGGACGTTTTCCAACCAACTTGTCCGATCATGAGTCCGTAGGCTCGTCTACTTCTGGTGGAACCAGCAAAGTTTCTCCTAACGTTACCGTTTACAGACAAGAGGCAGGACAATTGGATAGCGTGACAACCCCTTAGATCAAACCTCCATCTGTCCTTAGCCACAGCCCAATATTAGAAAAAGTGGAAAGCCTCTCTACACGTTGACCATCCCCATTCCTTATTGTTGTGCTCAAAACTCTAAAGCTAACCCGATGCTCGGCATCCACTTTCCACCATACGTTTTTGCCTATGTGTCCCGTTGCCATTCTCGAGAGACACAAAAAGACAAACAGCCCGCTGCAAGTCGGTTGCATGTGGGGTAGGCTGCGAGACTTGCGTTCGTTTCTGAAAATGGAAGTCATCCCATTTTGTACGTTTGCCAACAAGACAAAGTTGTGTGAGTTCGTGACTATTCCTGGTGCTGGGCCCTCCTTTGTCCATTATACGTTGGACAAAAGTCTCTCCTGTTTTCTCCACAACAGTCGTGACACTTTTGTCCAGTTGTTATATAAAGCTCGGTCTCGAGAAGCTCCGGGCAATGTTTAGTGAATCCCTTTTGTCTCGTTCTCTCTCTTTAATTACTTGATTTCAGACGAGGACGTAATCAATTCCATTCAAGATGCTTAGAAGAGCCTTTTCCACAGACATTAGAAGCACCCTCAAGGCTGCTATCCCAAAGAGAGTTGAGCAGCTCCAGGCTCTCAGAAAATCCGAAGCCAGCCTAGGTGAGCTGACCGTTGGTGCCACCATCGGTGGTATGAGAGGTTACAAGGCCTTGTTCTGGCAGAGTTCCCAGGTCGATGCCGACCTTGGTGTCACCTTCCACGGCAAGACCATCAGCGACTGTCAAGGCTTCTTGCCAAAGTGCAAGGACGAGCTGAACGACCCAAACTCTGAGTTCTTGCCAGAGTCCATGTTCTGGTTCTTGCTGACCGGCTCTGAGCCAACCCAGCAACAGATTGACACTTTCAGCGCCGAGATTGCTTCCAAGTCCACCTTGCCAGACTACCTCATCAAGGTGCTGGACAGCTTGCCAACCACGCTTCACCCAATGACTCAGTTGTCCATTGCCATCTCTGCGTTGAACAACGATTCCCAGTTCGCCAGAGCATACGAGAAGGGTATTCCAAAGTCAGACTACTGGGAGTACACTTTGGAGGACTCCATCAACTTGATCGCCAAGTTGCCTGGTGTCATTGGTAAGATCTACTCCAACACCTACTTTGGTGGTAAGACCCTTGGTGAGCTCGACACAAAGTCCAAGGACTGGTCCCACAACATGGCCACGGTGTTGGGTTACACACAGGACTCCGCTAACGTGAAGAACTTGACTGCCGCGCAGTCACAAGACTTCATCAACCTGATCAGATTGTACTGCGCTCTCCACGCTGACCACGAGGGCGGTAACGTCAGTGCCCACGCCACCCACTTGGTTGGTTCTGCGCTGAGTGACGCTTACCTCAGTTACAGTTCTGGTGTCCAAGGTTTGGCTGGGCCATTGCACGGATTGGCGGCCCAGGAGGTTGTCCGTTTCATCGTGGAGATGAAGAAGAACGTGACCGACATCAACGACAAGAAGCAGATCGAGGACTACCTGTGGTCACTGCTTAACTCCAAGCGGGTCATTCCTGGCTATGGCCACGGTGTGCTCCGTAAACCTGATCCGCGTTTCAAGGCCATGATGCAGTTCGGGTTCAACAGACCAGAGGAGTTCCAAAACGACGACTACTTCCAGCTGGTCAACAACTTGAGCAACATCGCCCCAGGTGTCTTGAAGGAGCACGGTAAGACAAAGAACCCATTCCCAAATGTCGACTCGTCATCCGGTGTTCTCTTCTACCACTACGGTTTGACCGAGTTGCTCTTCTTCACCGTCATCTTTGGTGGTTCCAGATCCATGGGTCCATTGGCCCAGTTGGTTTGGGATAGAATCTACGGTTTGCCAATCGAGAGACCAAAGAGTGTCACCTTGGAGATGCTCCAAGGCTTGAAATAAGCATACACATGGCATTCTATTGATATTCATACACGTGTTTATCCTTATATATAAGGGTTGATTGATTCAACGAGCTATTTATTTGATCGGAAACCAGTTATAACACAATCGATCTATTATTATTATTATTCTCAGTATTCACATGTAGACAAGATGTATCACTCCTTTGCTGTGTCTTCAGATGCTTCGTCTGGAGCATCCGTTTCACCATTGGCAGGAGGTTGATTCTCGACTGGTTCCTCTTTAGGATCTGACAACGTAGGTGCACCTGGTCTAGGTTGAATCTTGTTGAAGTGCTCACGATCGTACTCTGTGAAGTCGATATCCTTTTCAGTCAACTCTTTGTACTTCTTCAAGGCCAAGTTCTCTAACACAACCGCATCTTCATAAACCATCGACCCCTCTTCGTTGTAAATCTTTGCATTACCAGCCATAAGGTGAATATCCTCAATGAATTCACTAAGAGAGTGATATATGTTGCCATAGATACGCTTCTTGATCATATCAAAAGCCACGGGGTACTTGATCAAGACGTAGTAGTCTGGGTAAAACTTCTTCGCAGGTCTAACCATGAATATATCACTGAGACGACGACCGTGTTCATCCACATAATCAATTAAATCTTCACAAATGTTCTCACATTGAAGGTTCAACGTTTCACGCTCTCTTGGACTTAACGATTCAGGACGAGGGTAACGACTTGGAGGTGTGTCCTTACTGATACGCCCACGGCGTCCAGGAACAAATTTTCTACCTCCACGACGAGAAGTCGAGCCTGTAGATTCGGAATCTTCATCTTTGACTGATGGAGGTGCACTCTTTCTCTTTTTACCAACATAATTCATAAGTTCCTCATCATCCTCCATTTCAGATCTCTTCTTCTTACCCCTTCTCTTCTTCTTGGCTTCTGGTGCATTCTCTTCATCAGATCCACCAATCTCAGCATCAATTTCCTTTAGCCATTGTTCTTCTGTCAAGTTATCGTCGTAGAAAGTCTGCTTACGCTCTCTAGCACCACGACCATACTCACCAACATCCTCTGGTTTAAGATATTCCGCAGGATCCTTGGAAAAGCAAGGAGGAAGCTCAGCTTCGGTAAATAAACGTCCTTGCATTTTTTTGGCCTTGTTTTCCTCATCCATCTTCTTGAAGAGTGCCAGTTCGTTGTCGTTTCTGGACAAAATTTCGTTCAGCTCGTCGTCATCAAGATCCTCGTTTTCTTCCTTGTCGGATTTTTTGCTCTCTTCAGCTTCCAACAAAGCCCTCAATAGAGCTTCTTGCTCCTCAGCTGTCGATTTGTTGTCAAACTTACCAGCTTGAATGACTTTACCATCGATGTCTAGCTTTTGATGAGCACGCTCAAGAATCATTTCTTCCACAGAATCTTCAGTAATCAATCTCAAGATACGCACTTCATTCTTCTGACCAATTCTGTGAGCTCTATCTTGTGCCTGCAAATCTTGATGAGGGTTCCAATCGGTGTCGAAAATGATAACGGTATCAGCTGTTTGCAAATTCAAACCCAAACCACCAGCTCTTGTGGATAACAAGAAGGCAAAGTATTCGGAGTTTGGTGCATTGAACAGCTTCAACAGCTGAGTACGATCATCTGGCTTTGTTGAACCATCCAATCTCAAATACTTCAAATCATTCAGTCTCAGGAAGTCCTCCATGATATCCATAATCTGCGTCATTTGGAAGAACATCAACACCCTGTGACCTGATGCTTTAAATTTTGGCAAGACTCTATCTAGCAACTCAAACTTACCTGCACATCTCCAAATTTTGTTGTTGGTTTCACGGGTAGGGTTGATCAAATCTTCAATCTCCTCAAACACAAATGGATGGTTACAAATCTTTCTGAGTTGCATGATTGGGTTATTCAAACCTCTGATTGGGGCTATGCCTTCACCCGATTCATCAGCAACAAAGATTTGATGGTATTTCAACATTTGTTGGTACATCTTGCTTTGAACTGCACTCATCTTACATTTCAACACCTTTTCAACCTTGTCAGGTAAATCTTTTTCCACATCCTTTTTCAAACGACGCAACAAGAAAGGTCTCAACACTTTGTGCAATCTTCTAATCACCAATAACGTCTCTTCTTCAGAAAGTTCAATCTTGTCTTGACCACCAGTATTGGCAAAAGGAGTATTAAACCATTCATCAAACGATTTCACAGAGTTGAAAATCTTCGGCAAGACAAAGTTCAACAACGCCCACAACTCTGGCAAGTTATTTTGAAGAGGTGTACCAGTCAAGATCAGTCTATAATCGGTGTGGTAGTACTGGGTTAGAGTAGATGATAACTTAGAGTTTGAGTTCTTCATTCTGTGACCTTCATCGATGATCATGTGAGCCCATCTGATCTTAGAAAGCAATGGTCTGTCCTTGATGATATATTCAAAAGTTGTCAGAAGCACATCGAAGTTACCAGTTTTGATGTCATGTTGCATACCTTTTCTAACAGAAGGGACACCTTTGTAGGTAATCTTCTTCAAGGAAGGAGCCCATTTCTCGAATTCCAAATTCCAATTCGTCAAAGTAGATAGGGGAACAATAACCAAGAACGGACCATGAACCTTTTTAACTTCATATAGATAAGTAATCAAAGATATACTCTGGATAGTTTTACCCAGTCCCATTTCATCAGCCAAGATACCGTTCAAGTGATTATTGTACAACGACACCATCCATTGGAGACCTTTCAACTGGTATTCTTTCAGTTCACCACCAACAAGAATACTAGGCTGAACTTTAACCTCCTCCTTAATTCTATGGGCCACAGAGTAATAGTCAATATTTTCATTGTCCTCCATCTCATCAAACTCAGAGGATACCTCTCGTCCAATGGACTTTGCATGCTCATGAGTTTCCTTCTGTTGTTCCTTAACTGCTTGGGCCAAAGAGTCCAAAAATGTATTGGTTTGCTTCAACAAATGGGTGATTCTTGTATCCTTTGTCTGATCCAACAGTTTGATATATGCCTCCTCATCGTTCGCCTTTAAAGCTTGCAAACGTTGCTTAGCGTTTCTCTCAACTCTCTTTTGTTCCTCCCTTTCAATGCTTGAATGCATGCTTACAATACTTCTACCGAACTTTGCAATTTTGTCCTTCTTATCGCTTCTCTTCTTTATGATGGAGCTAGAGTCCGCTGCAAGTTTTTCAATGTGGTCGAATTTCTTCTTGTTCTCAACTTTACGTTTCATCGAGAGCTGTTGTTCGTACAAAGCAGAAGTTGCCTGTGAATCAGCAAGAGTAACTTTGCGAATTCGAGCCAGGAAATTTGGATGGGTGTTCGTTAATAATGAGTTCTTGAAGTAGTTGAAACTCAGGATGTGGCCCCTTATGGATTTTTGCAGAGGGAGTAATTCCAATGCATAGTAATCCACAAGATCATCAACTTGTTTAGGATCAACATCATCTGTTTGGTCTAGCTTCTTCTTGAACTCTTCAATAGCAGCATCAATTTCCAACTGGATCGTGGTTTCTCTAACCTGAGAGGCACCATACAGATCCAACCCTTCCGGGAAGACACCAGGGAGTATATTACGGGATTTTGGATGGTAGAACAATTCGTAAGGAACTTCCTTTTGTTGTTGGGGTTTGGTGTAGCTTTCAACTCGAATCTTTGGATCGTTAACAGGGAACACTGTTGTTATCTCTGGATACTGACTTTTCAACTTCTCCAAAGGTATTGGTTTTTGATTCTCTATAGGACGAAATAGCGGAGCTGGTTTAGCAGGTGGTTGTGGCTGTTGGATAGCTGCTGTTGGCGTTTGCCTTCTGGAAGACAGAGTAGCAGATTTCGAACGTTGTTGTTGTTGTTGCTGCTGCTGCTGCTGTTGTTGTTGTTGTTGTTGTTGCTGCTGCTGCTGGAGAGGTGGCGTCTGTTTCGATTGAGGTGGTTTTTGTTGTGGATATGGGCGTGATTGCTGTTGTTGTAGTGAACGTGGCTGTTGTTGTAGCGGTGGAGCTTGTTGTGGTGGCTGTTGTTGCTGCTGTTGCGGTGGTGGAACTGGGTGCTGCTGCTGCGGAGTGAACTGCTGTGGAACACCTTGAGGTGACTGAGCAGAGGGTGGTTGAGAAGGTGGAACTGCTGGTGATTGAACCACTGGAGGTTGAGTCATTGAAGCCTGTTGTCTCAAGTTTGCACCAAAGTTATTCTTCATAGACGCCACCAGGATATTGTTAACTTCTTGGGGGATAGGCACATTCTTGACAATACACTTAAAAGCGGCAATTTGAGCCTTAAGCAAGACAGATTGATGAGGAGCAAATAGACTGGCATTCAAAGGTGATCTGTTTTGTTGTTGCTGTTGTTGCTGTTGTTGTTGCTGTTGTTGCTGTTGTTGTTGCTGTTGTTGCTGCTGTTGTTGTTGTTGTTGCTGCTGCGGCTGCTGTTGAGGCTGTTGCGACTGTTGAGGCTGTTGCGATTGTTGTTGGTGTACCTGCGGTGGAGTTGGAATTGCAGAATTGTTAGCCATATTTGGAGTTCTCCCCATCATATTGTTATACCCATTCCCGTTGAACTGCTGACGCTGCTGGTCCTGTTGCAACTGCTGGAACCTGTTATTCACTGTCTGCTGGGGTAACATTGGTGATCCGCTCTGTGGCACTTGTTGTAACTGTTGATGTTCTTGCTGAACTTGGGTCTGGAGTGGCTGTCCCTGAACTGGCTGCTGCTGTTGTGCTTGCTGCTGTTGTTCCTGCTGCATCTTCCTAGCCAACTCTTGTTGCTTGGAAATGTGCTTCAACATCTTGGACAGCTGAACAAACTCTGCATTTTGAACCGCATTGTCGCCATACTGCGCCCGAAGCTGCTGCCATCTCTATGAAACGTGTTAGTACTCTAATCACCATGCACCATCTGCCATCATGTTGTGCTGTTCAGTTTATTCAAATCCCAGGTTGGTGCCATAGAAACTCGCCAAAAGAGAGCAATGACAGCAACCACATACCGCTAGCCAAAGCCGCCAAACCAAACTCACTCAGCGGGACAGACAACAAGCAAACCAACAAACCAACCGCGTCGGTGTGAGCAGGGCGCCAGTGTCAACAGGGTGCTTAAACACACCATCCACTCTCGTCACACAGTCATCCCAAACCAAAGCAAAACAACTAGCCGCTGAGAGAAACCCAGCAACACGCAACACCAAAACAGCCAAAAAATAAACAAACACAAAAACATCAACAACAACAACATCAACAACAACAAAAAATAAACAAACATAGCCAAACACAATAGAACAGATCAAAGACAGCGAATAATCAACTTACAAAGTACAACTTGTGGATCTCCTCTTTACTCAGCGGTCTATTGAAATCCATGACGCGCCAATGTTTTCCCAAATGCTCTTTTTTTGTTTACCTTTTTAGGGACGCCAGGTTTTTTGACTTACAAAGTTGATGGGTTCTTTTTCCTTTCTTTCTCTACAAGAGTTTTTTTTTGTGGTTGAGAACCGGGTTTTGGTTTTTCATTTGGCCGCCAGTGGACGGCGGAGGGGGGGAGGGCGCGCGGTCGGAATTGCTTCTGTTTACGGCCGAGGTCCGCCGGCCATGACGGGGAGGTTCTTGACTTCCTATTCAGGAAAGTGTATTAGACGAGCTGGTATTAAATAAAATGACCCTCACATCTGTTCGGTATATGGGGGCAACTCATCGACCTGGCTGTTATCAAACCTGGTTTTCAACTGTTCAAACTCCTTTGCAAACTGGATCGCACCTCCTTCTACAAACGATATACACAGGGACCATTGGTACATGTAGTTCAGCCCTCCGTTCCCGTCCGATACCCTAAACGTCACTCTGAACTTGTTGCTCCCCAACCAGGGCATCTCCAGCTTGAACCAAACGATGTCCTTGTACAGCAGTGAGAAGTTATCGTGTTGCTGGGTGCTTCTTGTGGACAGGATAACAATCCGGTGGCTTGTTAAGGTGACGTTCCCCTTTATCGTGATCGTATCGCCGTTCTGCTGTCCAATAGGATTGAGGTCCGCAGCAACCTCTTGGGGAAGGGCGAACCTATGCACTTCTTCAGGCAACAGCACAAAGCCGGGTGGATTACTGGTTCGACTGACCCAATTCAACGCCATTAACACTGGTGGATTAGGGAGAAACAGGATGAACTGGAGCACAAGATGTGACAAATTACGAGTGTTTTTTGGGTAGAGGTTGATGTACTCAGCGATGCGTTTCGCGGTTATGTGCGTGCCCGGGCAAGGTGGTAAGGACACACGCCTTCCAGCTGCGTGAACGATGCGTGGTGAGTGGATTTCCTACACTGGCTCATGATGAGGAGAGCGTCTGGTTCCTTCCGGATTCAATGGTAGACAATACGAGCGAGATAAGGTGCTTGTCAAATTTCCGTTGTATGCTTCATAAAATTTCCCTGTGGGAAGGGCTTTAATTTATAGGCTTGAATTGCCCATATCGGACCCTTTTCCTGCCACACATCAGTTTTGCTGTCATTTTGCTGTGCCTTTTCGTGTCCTGACCGTAGTTTCACATTTGGCGCAAAAGTCTACAAAAGAGCACCGTTTTGGGCAACAATTGTAACCCTTCGAAATTGAAGTTGGCCGCACTGGCTGTGCAGTGATACATCCATACACCAGAGTCACTACCATACGTTAAGTGCATTAGAGGTGGTATAAACCAAGTTGTACGAAGCCATTTTGGGGTGTACTTTATCCGAACAAATCAGCCAATTCGTCATCTTCATCATCTTCACCGCCATCGTTTGTGCCCTGTTGTTGATGCTGTTGTTGTAGATCGTCTGCCTGTTCGGCTTGTTCTGCCTGTTCGTCCTTTCCTTCGTCTTCCTCGTCTTCCTCATCCTCATCGTCCTCATCCATCTCTTCATCTTCATCCTCGTCCATCTCTTCGCCTTCGCCTTCGGCCTCACCCTCGCGTTCATCCTCAGCACCACCTTCACCTTCACCGTTGCCTGGTTCTTCGGATTGATTCTCCTTCCCGTCGTTCTTACTCTTCCTTCTGTCCTCGTTGGTCTTTAACTGTTTGTTCTTATTCTCGAGTTCCTTCTCCAACTTCTTCACGGTGTCAATGATTCTGTTACGCATCAATGGGTTACTTGTCTTTGAGAGTTTGGCCTTGTTGGATTCAATAGTGGATAACAGATCGGTGATCTCGTCCTTGAGCAAGGCATTCTGCTGTTGATCCTCATCAATCTCCACCTTACAATGGACATCCCCTCTTTCGTTATCACTATTATCATCGTCGTCTTCATCGTCTTCATCGTCTTCCTCCTCCTCGTCGTCGTCCTCTTCCAACGCCTGTTCCAGCTCCAACTCCAGATCTTCATCAAGAGGTTCCTCAACGTCATCTTTGCTGGCCTTTGGAACGACAATGTGGTCATCCTCCATAAACGTCTCGCCCTGTTCTTGTCCTTGCTGCTGTCCTTGTTGTTGCTCTTGTTCGTGCTCTTGTCCTGGATGCTGTCCTGTGTGCTGTTCATCATGGCCCCGCTGATGTGACAGACCCTTTTGTAAGCCTTGCTTTGAGAAGTCATACTGAGCCAAGGAATCGGGATCAATCATCTCGTACGTCGACTCCTCTGCTTCCTCGTCCAGACGCAACAGCTCGTCAACACGTGCCTCAATGTTCTCGATGTACTGCTTGGTCATCTTGCGCCTATATTTACTCTTGCCAACGTTCTTCAAAGGTGGCGTAATACCACTATCAAAGTCCTCCTCGCCAGGGCTTATATCTTCAATCTCAGACTCATCAGATATCCTCTTTATCACCACGAGGATCTGCGACACGTCAACGGTCTTGAAAATGTTCTTCTTATCAACGGTCTTCTGGGCTTCAATAATATTCGGTAAATTCATAAGCTTAGCAGCGTATAAGGTCTTGTTCACAGACAGCACACAACGGTACCTATCTTTCCATTTCATCTGGATCTTACTCAAGTCGCCGGCTTCAACACAGTGTCGCACATAGTCCAGCTCCGCGTCTGGTAGTAGCCTCAGTATCAACGCCTCCTCCCGGAGGGGATCTTCTTCAGCCTCCGAGTCCTCCGAGTCATACCCTTCACCAGGAATACGCTGCATCTTGAATCTCAGCTTTGGCGTCACCTTGGAGCCCCCTGGTGGTTTCCCATTGCTTCTGCTCTTGCCCTTGGAGCCAAACTTCAACTTGATGTTGGGCTTCTTCTGATCCTGAACCGCATCTGTTTTGCCCAGTTTGATCTTTATGGGTGCGCTTTTCGCTTCGCTGTTTGTCGGTGTCTTCAGCTTCAGTTTGAACATCTCTGCTGTTCCTTTCTTGCTCGTGATGGCGCTGATAATTCAACTTCCGTGTTGATGTTTATGGGTTGATGTTTACGACTCGGTGCTTTGTTTTGCCTGTGGTTTTGTGTCCTTTGGGGGCCACTACGCTCTCCCGCCAGCGGGCTGAAAATTTTAAGCGGACAGACACAGCGAGCCTGCCACCGTTTGAGCCCAGACGAGCCCAGACGAGCCCAGACGAGCCCAGACGAGAAGCGAAGAGTAGGCAGAACACCATGCCGTTGAAGCTCCCGGTGCCTGTTCCCTCGCTGAAGAACTATCACCATGTTTCACTTTTGAAGAGCCCGCAGTTGGCAGGTGAGTATCTCCCAATTGCATAAAGCGAAGGGTATCATCTTCCGATGACTAACATGAACAGGAACCTAGACAGGATTATGGCTAAACTGAGGTACGATAAGATCTATAACGACCAGCTACAGATACTGGACGTATACTCATCGAATTTGGTCTTCTCACTCACGCTGAACAACTATCTGTCTCCCAAGCAGCACATTCTCATGGAGGACAGACCTGAATATGTCAAGTACATCAGGTCGTACTTTGAAAAGCTTCCGGATCCGGCGTCCACCACGTTTGAACACGTCCAGAGCGACCCATACAACTGGCAGTCCTATCTAGACTTGACCCAATTGCAGCCAGGGTTCGAAAAAAGAGACCATATCCACTCAAAGTTCCTCTTTACCGGGTTATGCCATCTTGAAGGTTTGGTGATGCAATGGATGGCATGCATGGGCAATCAAAACTGGATCCAGAAGTTTGGTAACGTACGGATGCTCTTGTGGATACCACAGCCCACGGCTCTGAAGATCATGGCTCCTGCAAACACTCGTGAAAGGAACAAGTGTTCCATCGTAAGAGAAGCATTCAGTGACTCAAGAGTGATTGCCATGCCACGAAACAAGCTGTGCAACTCGTTCCAGGACGATGTCATGGATGAGTGCATCATCTTCGAGGAGGATGACTTTTCAAATCCGGTTCACCCAATGGCTCTTGTGGAGTTCCAGCCGAAGGACAACGACATTGAGGATATGTTCACATGGGACTTCATCACCAAGAACATGATGATCCTCAAGACCAAACCTGTGAGTGAAAGTGTAAAGAACCTGGGCCCAGGAGCAGAGGAATGGTTCAAAAGCTCTCTACCAGCGGACTTACTCAAACGTAAGGTGAATAGCCTCGAAGCCCACGATTTCAAAGTGATTTTGGATAAGTTCGAAGAATGGCCGTTCAAGCCAGAAACCACTATCGAGTTCATATCAGATGATAGATCATAGAGACGTTCGACGCTGGAAGGCATCTGAACAGTTGACTTGTATATAATGAGCAAAATGAAACCACTGTGTATACCGTTTGATTATAACTGTGGTCGCTCTATACGTACGTTGTTATAATATAATTATAATAATTATATAATCGGTATATATTCAGATACCACGACTTTGATATTGGAGATTTGCCAATACTGCTTGTGTCTTGAAGCTCGTAGGATCAAAAGAGGACTAAATCGTATAATCCTGCTAATCCAGGTCATCTGCTCAGGTCACATAATCCATAAAGGACATACTGAATAACCATAGAAGCATTTCCTTTCCTATGTAATGTGCAGCCTATAATCACTTACAAAGCACATTACAAATGAACGAGAAACGTCTCACAAGGGATCCCACTTGTACCGTAGAACTTGCCAGAGATATGATCTCCAATGTAATACACATCATTGCTACATATAAAGAATGGCAACATCACCATATTTGAAGTCTCTTACGAGCCAATGGCTGTACATTCATACCAATTAGTACCTCTTTGACAGCTGCATATACAAGAGAAGAACTTTAGTTTATACAGATAGTGCTTTCAGCTGCGACTCAATGGCTTAGTGATTGCGAAGTATTTACAGGTCTTGGATAGTTCAATGGTCAGGTGGATGAGCCACATCAAGCATAAACCAGATTCTCTAAAAGAAAGTCCCTTAAACCAATTTACAACCAAGATTAATAAACGCATTGATACGAAGATGATAGGTTAGATGATGCCACACAGGATGATGTTGAAGAAAAAAAAGAGGATTGAGTTGAACCGAAGAGCAATTGGCCAGTATCTGGACACAATGTTTCATTGGTACCATTTGGCATTGAGTATACAGATTTGATCCAGATAAAGTGCAACTGTTTAAAGGTGAAAAGACTCAACAGTCCGGAGATCGTTACTGCGTGCAATGCGGAGAGCTCATACCTTCAATTCAACCCACCAGAGAAAAGCAGAACCAAGAGGATAAAACCACGATTGTACACTGCCATTCAATATAATCAGTACCAAAACTTCATGGTGAATTATAGGAACTGAAGAGGCCACCAAGAGGCGGGCTACAGAGGCATATGCGAGGTTATAATTGACGTTTCTTACTGGAGAAAGAAAAGTATAGAAAGCAGATATATATACCTAGCCCTTCATCGAACTGTTAGTAAACTTCAACGTGTGTGTACATTGAACAGTGCGTGTCCTCTTCTTTTCATGGTCAGATTATTAAAAGGGTTGTATTCATTGAACCCGGTACTGAAACAAGGCCCTAACATTAGAGATGCCAGAAAAAACATACAAATTAAGGTAGTCATCACTCAAAAGAATAAGAAGCATCACACAAGCACAATTCAATGGTATACTGATACTTACTCACTGCAATTGCAACCGTTGTTGAGTTGCAAATGGATAAATCAAGATAATCTCAAAAGACAGAAAGTGAAAAATTTTTTTTGCTTCTTTGTCCACCAGTGATGCAATGAAAAATTGACACTGCACCAAAATGACAGAATTCGAGTAAAGCTTTAGGGCTATCTCAACAAATCAATTGACAGCTTCAATTACTTCTAATCATTCACATTAGTAGCTTGTTTTTCCACAACAGTGTCTTCTTCAACGGTGGCTTCAGCCTTTACTTCTTCTTTCCCCTTGAGTCTATGGATATCCTTGGATAGCTCAGCAACCTGTTTTTGTAGCTCATCAATCTCTTGATTGAATGCAGACTGTTTGGCGAATAATGCCCGCTTCCAATCTTTGAACTTCTTCTCCTCGTGTGTAATGATCTCAGTATACCTCTTCTTCATTATGAGCTGCTTTTGAACAAATATTGGACTCCATTGCACAACCAACTCGTCAACTTGTTTCTTACCAAATTTACAGAGGATTTTGCAAATGTCTAATGAATTCAGATCTGGATTAACGAAATCAATGTTTGCCAACGAGTTATCTGATGCAAACATCTCCTTGGCTTGTTTAACCCTCGTCCTGATCAACTTGGAACGGCAACTCTCGTAGTACAGTTCGGTGCTCAATATCAAGTCAACCATGTTGGAGGCCATTAGCAAATCCCTCAACTTGATGAAATCACAATGTTCAGGGTTTTCAACTTCGGCAATTCCCCAACGATACTTTCTACCCAACACAGATGACTCTGCCTCTGTGGAGTAAACATAAGACTCGGATCCAATGAGTGTGAATGGAACCTGCGATGTAACGCTTTGCTTCAAGGACTCATCATCGATAAAGTCACAAATCTTTATCCCCTGCGTTGTAATAATCTGTTGGACCAATCTCTTCATCTCAGCAATTTCAGAGGTTGTTAGGGTGTCTGCTTTGGGAATCACAGGAATCAAATTAACTCTACTAGAGATATGCTTCATCGCCTCGATATCCCCCGGAGAGATGCCTCTTGAGCTTGTGTTGATGAAGAAAAGACACAGATGCACTCTGTTATCAACCTTTTCGTCCCGATACGGTTGCTCCTCCTGAAACATGTAAAGCCTCAACTGTTCATCGATGTAATCTGTCACGGCAAGATAGGCAAACTGGTTATCGATGTAATCTCCAAACCCGGGCGTGTCAACGACTGTGAAATCCAAGTTGAAGCCATCCTCTCTTAGATGTGCCTTGTGTGCAACGACTCGTGTTGTCTTTGCAAAGGACACATTGGGCTGCTTGTACTCAACCTCTTGCCAAACGTTTGAAAGCACAGAAGTCCCAAACAACGTATTGATAAAAGTGGTCTTCCCCAACCCACTTTGTCCAACACACAAGAGGTTGAAGATAGCACCACTTCTCAGCTTCAACTCCTCCACCTGCTTGGGAAGAATGTCAATACCGGGATTGAACAGAGCGTTCTTGAACGTCTGTGTGGGATGTGAACAACCATTTTCACACACTTCACCGAGTCTCGACAACATTTGTACAGAGTCAGTGACTAGATCAGCATAACCTTGTCCCAATGCCATTTGCACCATCTTTTCTCTCTCTCTCTCTGTGTGTGGTGAGGTACTGAGAAACAGTTGAAGATAGCTTTTGTGTTAAAAGTGGCACGGAGACCCTTGTACAAGCCCCCTTTTTGTGTCTAAAGCACACCGATACATAGTAAACAGTCACAGAGGGCCACGGCTCCAAAGGGGAGAACGTCTACAGAGGGACTCGATGTAGACGACAAGCGGTAGATTTGGTGTAGTTTCTATAATAACGCGTGCCATAAACCAGTGTCCCCCGTTCACTATGTACAGATTGTTAATCACGGTTTCAAGAGTGCCTTTAGCGTACTCCAAGCGTGCTTGCCTCATATGAGAGATATGACTTCATGAACAAAGTCCTGGAACGGTATTGTTGCGATTCCGTTGCCTTGTGTGTCGAACTTCTTGAACACGTTCGTGCAGCGCAATAGCCACACAAGACTTTCAACAAACATGTCGAATCTCAAGTACATTGGCTTGTTCGCATTGAACTCACCAAACTTTTGGAAAATGAACAGTACGATATCGGTCGGGAGCCTGTATCCAAAGCTCTCGAGGGCATTCTGGTACTCACCAAACGAGATTTTTTGGTTCTGATCAACGTCGTATCTCTGGAACGTCTTCCTCCAATGGATGAGGTAGTTCCACAGGTGGTAGAACTCTCTGAACTGGATTGTGCCCGAACAGTCGGCATCGAACAGCCGAATCATCAGCCTTATTGTGCTCTGTTGGAACTGCGTTCCATCGTTGTTCAACAGAGCCGCGCCGAGCTCTTGTTCTGTCAAGGCCCCATCACGGTCACGGTCCATACGGTCAAAGATGTCTCTTAGCTGTCGTTCTAGGATCTGGGACGCGCTCTGCTGTGGCAGTGGCTGTGGTTGGTGCGGAAGCTGCTGTTGCTGATGGCGCTGCTGTTGTTGTTGCTGTTGTTGTTGTTGTTGTTGCTGCTGCTGCTGTTGCCCTTGAAAAGATGATGCACTGGACGACAGTCCAGGACTTCCATATCCACCTTGGTTGTAGTAGTTCGGCCCACCGTACATATCTGAGTACGAGGTGTTACGACTCGACCTCCCTTGAGACGAAGCCGGTGAAGGCGCTGGTGGGATTTGCTGAGGAGCCATTTGGACATATTGATCCCTCAAGCTGTTGCTGGAAGGTCTCGCATTTGGATACTGACGAACAGGGCGGATACCTGACTGTTGTCTCGGATGTGAAGCGGTAGACTGGTTTGGGTGTAAAGGCGGGAGATCTGCTCTCTGCTGTGAGTATTGTTGCTGCTGAGGTGCCTTTCGTACGTTGTTATTACCGTTGTTTTGCTGGCCTTGGACGTTGCTTCTGCCAAAGGCTTCCGCCGGGGTTGGGAAGTTCTTTCAGCGTGGTTAGTAACGAGACTCCTTCTGGTATTACCGTCACAAACGCCACGGCTCCCGGTACTCACCATCAAATCGTCTCCGGCCATGGTTAGCAGTGGTGATTGATCAACCTGTCGATGCTTTCAAAGGCCAATTGGACCCATTTCCCAAGAGATGTGACTAGAGAAAGAGGCCGAAGCACAGCACGCAGAGGCAGCTGGTCGACTTCCCAGTTTGCAGCGTTGAGGTCGCGAACTGATCCCGTTGTTCGGGGCAACACGGGTTGTCGCCCTTGCCGATAACGTCATCACGAACCAATAACATCATCACGAACCAAAACACATCTCTCTCTCCCTTCAATGTGTGTGTGGTGTGTCTACAGCTGCTACGACAATGTGAAGTTCCATGCCATGCTCTTATTACACTAACATTAGACCAAAAAATACTATATCCTAAACAAAACTAATGCTACAATAGACAATAGCGGCCCAGTCTCTCTGTAGAGCCGCAACTGAACATATAAAACCATACCCAAAGATAGAAGCACGGAAAGAGGGAGACAGGAGTGAGACAGAAGCCAACATTAATATACAACAGGCTCACCATCACGACACGGTTTCTTTCTCCACTGCTTCTTTCTCCACTGCTTCAACTCATTAATAAATTCTCATTACACGCCGAAGACAATAAACATCTTAAGCCTTCAAAGAAGAGGCTCTTCTCTTTCTAACCTCGGCCCTCTCAGCTTTACGTTCGTGCAAACGTTGAGCCAACAAGTGGGCGTACTCAGCAGCAGCGTCTCTTTGGGCTTGGGCGTTTCTGACCTTCAAAGCCTTCAAGTGTCTCTTTCTTTGCAGAGTTTGTGGAGTAACCAATCTTTGGATCTTTGGAGCCTTGGTGTACTTCTTCTCACCCTTGACAACCTCTCTTCTGATGACGTATTGTCTAACATCATCCTCCTTGGTCAAACCGAAGAACTTTCTAATGTTGTTAGCTCTCTTTGGACCCAATCTCTTTGGAACTTGGGTGTCAGTCAAACCCTCAAGCTCAGCATCACCTTGCTTGACAATGACAAGGGACAAGACAGCGAGATCTTGACCGACAATGGCACCTCTGACGGACTTTCTCTTTCTCTCACCGTTTCTTCTTGGTCTGTAACAGGAGTGGCCCTTAGCGAGCAACAACTTGACACGGTTTGGCAACAAGACACCTTGCTTCATTGGGAAACCTTGCTTGTCGTTACCACCGCTGATCTTGAAGACGTAACCTTTGAACTCATCTCCAACAGAGTCACCTTCAACTTCTTGTCCAATTCTCTTCTCGTAAAAGACACGCAAACGGTGGTCATCATCAATGTCGTAGGTCTTTTGGGACCCGTTGGCTGGGTATGCAATGTTCAATTTCATATTGGTCTGAACTTCTCCTATAGAATGTCGATCACTTCTCTTCCTGGTGCCTCGTTGCGCTGTATATGATTATTCACTTTTTCGCTTTTTTCACTCTGCAGCCCGCGGGATGAGTGGCTCTCTCCAAGATCTTGAAAGTTCTGGTTCGGGATGTCTGGATGTTAGCTCAAACGTGTTCGTAGCCCTCATTTTCAAGATCACGTGAGTTAGATTAGGGTTTCATCTCTGTTCTCAAGCAAAGCATCTGCTACAACCATAAAGTAACCCAGCATTGAATCGAGCTGAATACACAATACACTTGTACATGTTTGATCTGGGTATGTTACCTACTAATCATTTCAAACCAACAAAACGTTAAATTAGTTTTAATTTTATTTTCAATTTACAAACACATAACCCGATTTGACTTAGTTTCTTCTGAAACCACCTCTTCTTGGTCTCTCTGGAGCAGACTCTTGCAATCTGGTCTTTGGAGCAATGGTCTCTGGGAGGTGGAAGTACTCACGCAAGTACTCAACACCCTCATCGGTAAGGGTGTAGTAGTAGTATTGCCAGGAGAACTGAGTCTTAACGTAACCCTTAGAGGTCAAGGATTGCAAAGCCTTGATGACATACAAGTTTCTGGTGTCAATCTCCTCGTGCTTTGGTTGGTTGAAGTCCTTCTTGGCGACAGCAACACCCTCTATTTAAACATGTTAGTAAATGATCTCGTTAAAACAACAGCGGAATGGAAAATGTGAATTGCCAATGCATCGTGCCCAGCACAGGATATGTGGGATCATGGGTCAAGCTAAGATCAGGGAGTGTATTGAATTCATGTCAAGTAATTTGCACACTTGGATACTTCTCGTTTGGTAATCACCACGTTCGCTATGCCTTGCCGTTCCTTCATCGATTACTAGTTCATGTGCCTGTTGAAGTGCGGTCAGACCTATCAAAGCATCGGCCTCGAGCTCTATTGGATTCATCCTCCTCGCTTAGATACCTTCTTCATTGGAAATAGCTCATCAGATCCCCTTGTGTACCGCACTTCTTCACGCGTCCTTCCAATTGATATGCTCTCTTCGATCCCCTCGGTTCCCAATAAGCACCACTCAAGTTCGCCTAGCAACGTGCCCATTTCACATTTCCACTACTCTCTGTATAACTACTCTCTGAACGTACCTTGGAACAAGTACTTGAAGATCTTGTCTCTCTCCTCTTTTGGAATCAGCATTCTGTTATGACTTGGTTATGAGATGTACAAACTCTGTGTATGGAAGTGTTGTTACAAACTTGTTGAAGTTGAGTTTTTCACAGAGTCTCTCCCAAGCTGCGAAATTGTTGTGTTGCGCTTATCGAAAAATAGCCCATTCGCGGGCATTTTTCAACGACACCGCACAAATTCGCGGCGCCAGCCGGTAGAAAACATTGAAAACTCGTTAGTGCCACGACTTACTCCCACCTGTGGATAAATAACAGTCCTCCTCAGACACAACAGCCCTAAGTAAACGCACGTGATGGGTGCATACCCCAAACCATAAGCCCTACATACCTTGTACAAGCCTTGCGCAAGCGATATATATTTAAAAACACACTGGGGCTTTTTGATACTTATCAGCAAGGACAAGGGGTGTGTTTGTTTGGATCTTCCGCTTTGTATGCCCTCCAATTGGGTTGTCTGACAAACTTTAGAGGTAAAGCATGAGCATTCGGCTTCCTGATGATGAGGAGAATCTAGAAAGCCATAACGACAATGATACGCAGTCGGTACTCTCGTATAACACCCGGTTAAAGAGAACTGTATCGTATCGGATAATCAAATACCTATCGCAGTTCAAGTTCTGTTATATTCCGGTGCTTAACTGGTTGATACTGTTCTTCTACCTATCAATGCTTTATAAGTTGATCCAGAAGTATGAGTCGATGTACTCGCAGAATGTTCTGATCACCACGATAACGACGAACGTGCTGTTGTTCGGGCTTTCCGATACGCTGGCACAGAGTATATCGTGTGTGGTGGAGATGATCTCGAGAGACAACCAACGTCGTAACGTGTCATTCAGTACACTGCCTATGGATAACTACCATCATCACCATAACCATGGTCAAGTAGTTGATCAAATCCCAGACGATTCTTTCTATGCGGACTACGGTGACACCACGACTCGTCGCAATAGACAGAACAGTTTGCAATCGATAACTTCGATGACCTATCAGTCGTTATCAGAACAGACGGATAAAGACGTCTTCAACTTTAGAAGATTTGTTGGGTTTTCATGCTGGGGGTTTTTCATGGCATTTGTCCAAGTTGTATGGTATTGGGTTCTAAACCATATGTTTACCACAGACCCGACGTTTGTCTCCGTGCTCGAAAGAGTGCTATCAGACCAGCTGTTCTTCTCGCCAATATCGCTGTTTTCCTTCTTCTCCTATTCCAATTTTGTGCTTGAAGGAGGTGACAAGGTTACTCTCAACGACAAGATTCAAAAGATCTACCTCTCCACCTTGGCAGCCAATTGGATGGTTTGGCCATTGGTTCAGTTCATCAACTTCTTGGTGATGCCTAGAAGGTTCCAAGTGCCGTTTTCATCTTCTGGTGAGTTATATGCCTTTTCTTCTAACCTGGTGCCAATGTACTAACAGAGACGTATCTAGTTGGTGTCGTATGGAACTGTTTCCTGTCGATGAAAAACGCAGCCAATTGAGCATGCCTTTAAATAGCCTTAGTGTGCTGTATAATACTCGTCAACTCTTCAATTGATAGCATGGATGTATCCTATCACAGGCCTTTAATACTATAAACCAGCACCCCATCACTGCCATAGCGAAGCTTCGTGAAGACAGCTATGGTTACGAGCGCGCACACAACATAGAAATGCAAACGCTTTGGTGGGAAAAACCTTCAACAACTTTTGCATCGTTCGAGGAGCTTTGCAAGTAGCGACAACAACTGAACAATTAGTTGATACAAAGACAGCAAGATGAGTTCCAACACACTTGTCACTAAGCCAGAGCAGAGACCAGACTCCATAGATGACATTCTTTCCACCCTGAAGAGATATGATGCTTCTGTTATCAAGGATCTGGAAGATTATCTCCAGGACCAGTATGAGAAGGGATATTCCGACGTCAATGCCAACCTGGCGCTGCTGAAGCTGTACGAGCTGAGCGAAGAAACATCCACATTGAGAGAGGAGGCCACCATCAAGATCCTGATCAAGGGGCTGACCAAGTTTGCAGACGAGGACTTCACGCTGTACTTGCACTTGCTGCCGGGATACACGCTGTCCACACAGTCCGAATACGCCTCCAAGATCCAGAGCATCGTGTCTCTGTACGAGCTGCTCATCTCCAGTAAATACACTGACTTCGTCGCTAAGAACCAGGAGCTCGGCAACGTTGTGAACGGCAAGAACCTCGAGATCATCGAGCAGACACACAACAAGACCGACACAGCAAAGTTCATTGTCAACGAGGCTCCTTCAGAGACCGTCTCTGCAGGAAGACTCTACAAAGTCGTTGGTCAGTTGATCTGATTCACTCCGAAGGTGTGAGTCCAACAGCTGGGCTGAAACCACTGAGCTCAACTGTTGTGACCTCAACATGCCGATTGCAACCACCTCCACCTCCACCACGCCAATGTATACTATAAATGGTACGCCGAGAATGATAAAACCTCAAGCTTTCGCACACACCACACGTAGCACGACGACCCGAGTAGCCCAATCAGCCATCTAAAACCGTTTAAATCATCACTTTCCATACAAATATTGGAGCTCATCGGCTGTTTCCTAATCGGGACACGGTAGGGGCAGCACCTGGCTATACAAGAAATTTTTTCTTCAGACTTTCAGACTTTCTCATTTTATCACTTTGAATCTCTCCCATTTATCCCAATTGTCATTGCCATTCCGCAGTATAAACGTATCTCATTACAGGCCAGGTGTTGAACAGTTGAGGTGAAATGGCTACTGCGAAGAGAAGAAGGTCCGATGCGGACTCTAAGAAACGAGGAGCAGATCTTTCGAAGGAGGAGGATGTGAGGGAGGCCCCAAGGGCATCATCAATCTTGAAGTCCAGCGAGGTTGCATTTCCTAGAGGTGGTGCCTCTGCTCTTACTCCACTGGAGCTGAAGGAGGTTGCGAACGAAGCCACCAGGGACGTTCTCTTTGAAAATGAAAATGGGAAGAAGGATGAACAGAGACCGAGCAAGAAGAAGAAACTGGCCAAGAGCGTGAAGTCTGTTGTTGATGATGACGAGCCAAAGATCTCCATCGACTCTTTGTCCTTTAAGAATCTCGTACCGGGGACTCTGGTGCTCGGGCAAATCAGCGAGATCAACCGTTGGGACATGGCGATCTCATTGGCTGACAACTTGACTGGGTATGTACCAATCACCAGTGTCTCTGCAATTGTCACAAAGCAGCTGGAAGAGATGGACGAAAGTGATGACGATGAAAGCGATGATGATGGCGAGGGGCCAGATAAGATCACCTCGGGGAACTCCAAACAAGAGCAAATGGTTGAGCTGAGCAAATTGTTCCAAGTCGGTCAATGGGTCCGTGCTATAGTTGTGGAATCAACATCAACTTCAAACAACAAGAAGAAACAGAAGAAACGTATCCAGCTCTCAATCGAACCTGAGAGAGTAAACAAAGTCCTCGAAGATGAGGACCTTGTTGTCAATGCCACTGTCCAGGTCTCGGTTAAGACTGTTGAGGATCATGGTGCCATTCTCGATCTCGGTAAAGACGTTGGTGGCTTCATCTCCAACAAGGAGATCAAGGCTGCTGGCTTCGAACCAGAGTCCTTACTCCCAGGTTCAGTTTTCCTCTCAACCATTGCAAACAAGAACTCACGTACCATCACCGTGAAGTTGACTACAAACAAGAAGAACGTTGTCACCACGATCTCATCCGTGGACGCTGTTGTTCCTGGTAATCTGGTGGAGGCCCTTGTTACTGAAGTTGAAAGAGACGGAATCGTCTCTAAAGTCTATGGAATGCTGGATTCAACGATCAGCTTAGGCCACATTGGCGTGTTCGACAAAGATGCACTCATGCACAAATTCGCCATGGGTTCCAAGGTTAAAGCTCGTGTAGTTGCAGTGGTTCTTTCCAACGATTCCAAGAAGCTGATTCTCTCAATGCAACAGAACGTGCTCAACTTTGGTGCCCCACAGACCTCTGATGCTCTTGCAGCTTTCCCTATCGGTCATGTTTTCGACGATGTTGAGGTCAAGGGACACGATTCTCAGTACATCTACGTCAAGATTGGTGGTGATAGACTGGGTCAGGTCCATATCTCGAGAATTGACAACACCAAGTCCAACCTGGAAACCTTCTATGCAGCAGGATCAAAGCATCCAGCTAGAATTGTTGGATTCTCTGCATTTGACAACTACTACACGCTGACCTTTGACCCTGCTTTGATCAAACAGAAGTATCTGAGACCTCAAGACATCCCACTCGGCGATGCTGTGCTTGTTGAAATCTTGAGTGTTTCTGAGCAAGGGATGAAAGTCAAGGTGTTTGATAAGTTCGAGGCCACTGTTCCAGCTTCTCATATGAGTGATATCAAACTCATATACCCAGAGAGAAAGTTCAAGATTGGCTCTAAAGTCAAGGGAAGAATCCTAGACGTGACGCAACACAAGCATGAAATCATTGTCACTTTGAAGAAATCTCTTGTTGGGATTGAGAACGTTGTTACCTCCATTGAAACTGCCACTGTTGGCGAGAGAACATCTGCTACCGTTGTGTCTTTCAACCCAAGTGGTGCTATTGTTGCCTTTTTTGGTCGCTTGAAGGCTTTCTTGCCAAAGTCTGAGATTTCAGAAACGTTTGTAAAGAAGCCAGAAGACTATTTGCGTCTTGGTCAAACCATTGCGGTCAGAATTACATCAGTCGACAAGGATTCCCACAGATTGACCGTCAGTTGCAGATTGTCTGCAGAGATTACTGAAGCCCAGAAGACTGCCTTGTCAGAGCTCGTTCCAGGCCAATCGATTATCAAAGTTCAGGTTGTTGAGAAGACCAAAGATTCTATTGTTGTTGAAGCAGCTGGCAGCAACATTAAGGGTGTTATCTTTGCAGGCCATCTGTCAGATGGTAACTTTGAACAGAACCGTGCTGCTTTGAAAAGAACTGAAGTTGGTTCCACCATTGAAGGTCTGGTTCTAGCTAGAGATGCACGTTCAAGAATGTTCAACATGACCCTCAAGAAGTCCTTGATTCAAGGTGCTCAGGCTGGTATTCTGCCATCCAAATACAAAGATATCAAGGTTTCTGACGAATTCATTCCAGGATACATCAAGTCGATCAATGATAAGGGAATCTTTATTGCATTTGGTGGTAAGCTCATTGGTTTGGTTCTCGCAAAGTATGCCACTGACAAACCAGTGGATGATTTGAACTCAGTTTTCTACGTGAACCAATCCGTTTCCGTGAGAGTGCTTAGAGTGGATGATGAAAACAAGAGATTCTTGTTAACATTCAAGGAGAACAGTGCCAGTGCAGGTGTTAAAGCTGTGAACCCAGTTGACAGCTCCGTTAAGTCAATTGAAGATTTGAAGCCAGGCAAAGTCATCAATGTTAGCATTAAGAATGTGAAGCAAACACACCTCAACGTCCAAATTGCAGATAACATCCAAGGCCGTGTCGACATCTCGGAGATCTTTGAGAAATATGATGATATTAAGGACCCAAGACATCCATTGTGTCAATTCAAGAAGGGTGATGTATTGAAGGTTAAAGTCATTGGTTTCCACGATGCTCGTAACCATAAATTCTTGCCAATTACGCATAAGAAATCAAGACAAACAATAATAGAATTGAGTGCAAAGAAATCCGACATTGAGAGTGACTCCTACAAAGTTTTGGGAACCCAGGATATTCAAATTGGTTCAGAGTACCTTGCATTCATCAACAACTCTGCCAATGGACAATTCTTTGTTTCTTTGTCACCAGCTGCAAAGGGAAAAATCTCCTATATTAACACGTTTGACAACGCTGCTCTGCTCCAAGATATTGACGAGGCTTATCCAATTGGATGTGCTCTTAAGGCCACAGTCAAGTCCATTGACGTCGAACACAACGCACTCACTTTGACTTGTCGCTCGAATGCCATCGCCAGTATCGAGGATGTCAAGACTGGCATGAACATCCCAGCCCGTGTCTTCAAGGTATCTGAAACGTTTGTCCTTGTTGAACTTGCTGAGAAGATTACTGCAATTTCCTTCATCACCGATGCTTTGAATGACTACACGAAGAAACTTTCAGATGTGTTTGAGAAGAACGATATCGTTGCTGCTTCTGTGTTGGAAGTTGATACTTCAAGCAACAAGATTTATGTGTCGTTGCGTAACGACAAGGCATCTGACAAGCTGATTAGAAGCTCCAGCGACTTGAAACAAGGTGATGTGGTTCGTGGTTTTGTTCAAAATGTCACTGATAAGGGCCTCTTCATTGCCATTGGTCGTACCGTCACTGCTTATGTTGCAGTTCGTAACATCTCCGACTCCTTTATCAAAGACTGGAAGAAGTTTTACAAATTACACCAACCAGTCATCGGTAAAGTTGTCACAGCTGATAGCGAAGGTCACGTTTTTATGACTTTGAAGGAATCTGAGGTTAACGGTGAGCTCAACATTCTTAAGCGTTTCGAAGATTTACAGGTTGGTGATATCTTCGAAGGTTCAGTTAAGAGAATCACAGACTTTGGTGTTTTCGTTAAGCTCGATGGTACCTTGAACCTCAGTGGTCTGTGTCACCGTTCTGAAATCTCTGACAACCAAGTTCAAAACCTGAAGGCATTGTTCGGTGAAGGTGACCGTGTTAAGGTCAAGGTCCTTTCTTTGGATAAGGAGAAGAAACAGATGTCTTTGGGTATGAAGGCCTCATACTTCCAAGAAGATGTCGAGATGGAGGATGTTGACCAGGAAGCCGAAGTCGAATCAGACAACGAAGAGGTGGTGAATGAAGATACCGAAGTTGGAGACGCTGCTTCCGATGAAGACGACGAAGTTGACTTTGACAACAGTGCCTTTGACGGTCAAGATCAAGACGAAAGTGACAGTGACGACGATGATGATGATGAGGGGGAACAAAACGGCTTGTCTGGTCTCACTACAAACGGTTTTGATTGGACAGCTTCTATCTTGGATCAAGTCCAGGATGATGAGTCCAGTGACGAAGAAGACTTCACTGAGATTAGAACGAAGAAGAAGAAGAGATCTAAGGCTGTTGTTGAAGACACTACTGGTGATATCAACTCCAAGGCACCACAATCTGTTGCTGATTTCGAGAGATTGATCATTGGTAACCCTAACTCATCCATCGTTTGGATGAACTACATGTCTTTCCAACTTCAGCTCAGTGAAATCGAAAAGGCACGTGAGATTGGTGAACGTGCACTGAAGACAATCAACTACCGTGAAGAACAAGAGAAACTGAACATCTGGATTGCACTTCTCAACTTGGAGAACACTTTCGGTACCGAAGAGACCCTTGAAGATGTTTTCAAGCGTGCCAATGAATACATGGAGCCATTGGTTATCCACCAAAAGATGGTTAGCATCTACATCTTGTCTGAGAAGTACGCTAAGGCTGAGGCACTGTTCAAAGTCATGTGTAAGAAGTTCGGCAAGAGCTCAACTTCAATCTGGGTGAGCTATGGGTCATTCTTGCTGGGCCGTGGTGAAAACGAAAAGGCCCATGAAGTTCTTGCCAACGCACTGAACGTGCTTCCAAAGCGTGATCACATTGAAGTTGTTCGCAAGTTTGCCCAACTGGAATTCACCATTGGTGATCCAGAACAAGGTAGAACGTTGTTTGAAGGGCTGATTGCGGACGTTCCAAAGCGTATTGACTTGTGGAATGTCTACATCGATCAGGAGATGAAGAAGAACGAAAAGAAGAAGGTTGAAGATCTGTTTGAGAGAGTGTTTACCAAGAAGGTCACTCGTAAGCAGGCCAAGTTCTTCTTCGCCAAATGGCTCGCATTCGAGGAGAAATGTGATGATGGAAAGGCTGTTGATTACGTCAAGGCAAAGGCACAGGAGTTTGTGCAAAAGAACGACAAGGAGTAGTTGAAGGAAGCCCAGTAAGAAGAAGAGAAGAAGGTGTCCACATGGCTACTTGGCTTGTGACCTTCCGTGTACATTAGTTGAACATATTAATACAAGTGTTTTCTGTTAAGATGAGGCTTGTTTGTGTAGTGCAAAGGTGAGTACGAATGGCACAAAGCCAGCTTCTATAGTAAAGCGTGAGTGTGTGTATTCTGCTTTGTGAGATCTCCTATGTTGATGACTGGAAGCACAACGGGAGTGAAGCTAATGGATAGTAGAATCAGGCTGTGGCTTAGTTGCTTGATAATCATAAGCGTATCGCTGGTTGTATACCATGCTGTTCATGAGGAAAGGCCGGCTGGTCTAGTGGAGAGGTCTCCGAGTCTACGAGAGTTGATTGAGTGTGTTGATGTATCAGACCATTGGAAGTGTCTCTCGAGATACAGAAGCGGAGTCATAGCTGAGCTCTTCCCCAATGCCGATAATAAACATCATCACCTCCACGGGTGAGTCTGTCTTGTTGCAGTACACCAGAGGAGCCATATTAACGCCGTTCTTAGCTGTCTAAACGAGCTTCGACAGGTACATTCGAGCTCGTTGATGGGGTTCCAGTTGTCAGAATGCCTACACCTCGACATGAGCGAACAGCCCCAGACTGCGAGAAGGGCGACACCACGAGCCGTAGTGCTCTCCGTGGCTGCTGGCATACTACTACTGGTGCTCTGCCTGTTCTTGTCTATTGAATGGCTTATTGGAGAAGAGTACACAGCAGCAGCCATCCAAGATGAGGAACCACTGCTGGCTGAAGACCTAAACCACAGCGCCGTCAAAGACCCCATCAGCGCTGTAAAAGGCGAAGAGGAGAGCTCCTCCAGCTTGATTATCGACTTAGAATCACCAACAACAGGCACGCTTACAAACAACTCACTGCCCACAGCAGCTGGCCGCCAGCAACACGCTCATTACAAGACCTACAAGGGCCCTACGCCGTCAGCATTGCACTTTCCACAGTATAACAAAGACGGCAAGAAGCATCGTAGGATCTTCATTCCAGGACGTGGGTGGATGCATCGCAAGCAGTTGGAGCTGGAGCAGAGGACCTTAGCTGAAATGCTCAACTGACGAACTGTTTCCTTTGTTGGTTTGTGTCACTTTGCTGTGTTGTAGTTTTTCTGTTTTGTACTCGGCCCACACCGCGGGTTTAAGCATCAACATCAACATCAACATCAACGGCCTTGATCTCGTTCCCTTCGCAAGAACGTACCAAGGATGCCGCCGAGATACCACGTCTCTGTTGATATCGAGGGTTTGACTACCAACCATGATGCCTTTGATGACGAAGAGGTGGAGGTTCTTCCGCTGAGCTCAGCGTTTTCGAGCCATAGTGCTACTCCGCGGACAGATCAGGCGGACTACCGGCTTTCGAACCTAACGGTCACTACGCTCTCAGCTGGTGAGAGTGCTACAAATGAGGATCACCAGGGGAATGGTCTCAAAGCAAGGTACCTCGGGTACGGTGTTGTCAGGTTGTTCAGGGAATACGATGTGTCCGAGGAGGTTGAGGTGGAGAGTGATGACACTACAGTGGCGATAGTTGCCATACCTAGTTACCTATCACCAACAGATGTGCTGGCATTTGTTGGCGAATCAGTGACGAAGGACGTGTCGCATTTCCGTATGGTGAACTCGGAAAACCCCAATAGGTTTATGGCCTTGATGAAGTTTAGAAACAGCGAGTCTGCCAGGCAATTTCAAGATGAGTTCAACGAGAGACCGTTTAGTGCCATTGAATCTGAAAAGTGCCACGTGATATTTGTCAAGTCTGTAATGTTCAGACCGCTTGGTAAGCCAAATACATCAGGTATTCCGTATCTATTGGAGGATCCTTTCACATTGCAAGTTCGCAAATCCAGTGGTAGTGCCTCCATCGTGAAGGAATTGCCAACGTGTCCGGTATGCCTTGAGCGCATGGACTCTGATGTGACGGGTCTTGTGACCATCCGGTGTCAACATACGTTCCACTGCAATTGTCTGAGTAAGTGGAGAGACGATACGTGTCCGGTGTGTCGATACTCAAGCCTCTCGTTGAACCCGTTGAAGAGTTCAGGTGTTGAGGCTCAACGTTGTTCCTCATGTGGAGGCTCTGAAAACCTTTGGATCTGCTTGATATGTGGTAACGTTGGATGTGGTAGGTACAATAAGAAGCATGCTATTGAACATTTTGAAGCTGAAAGCCACTGCTTTGCCATGGACATATCTACACAACGCGTTTGGGATTATGCGGGGGATAACTACGTCCATAGGTTACTTCAAAACGAATCCGACGGCAAATTGGTGGAACTGCCACCTGCTGCATCCACCTCCTCCCATTCTGGTACTTCATCCTCGTCATCTGGCCCAGATGGTGCCGGCGTATCTACAGCAAAGGAGGATATCAAGTACACAAAGCTGAATGCAGAATACCATTTGGAGTATACCAACGTGCTGTTGTCACAGTTGGAATCTCAAAGAGAGTACTACGAATCACGACTAGCTGAATCTGCTGATAAGCTATCAAAATTACAAGAAAGTGGACAAGACTCACAAACGCAGATGGAGAAACTGCTCGCCACGTTAGCCCAGTTACAAGATGAGGTCTCCAAGATGTCCGAGCAATTGGAGAAAACCCGTAAAACGGCCAGTACAGCAGAATCAAAGCTCAGAGAGGAACAGCTAATGACGGATGGGTTATCTAAGAACCTCGATTCCATGAGACTGGCAAACGCATCGCTAAAGAACGAGAACCAAGAGCTACAGGATCAAGTTAAAGACTTGATGTTCTACCTCGAGTCCAATGAGAAGTTCAAAGACGCCAGCGACGACGTCAAGAACGGCACCATCGTCATCCACGAGCCACCAAAGAGATCACTGAAAACCAAGAAGAGCAAGAACAAAGCAAAGAAATGAGATGAATTACGCAATGAATTATGACTGGGATTATACGCTTATGTCTGCTTGTAGTGGTGTTTGGATGTTTTCATCGCCTGCTTTCCCTCTCCGAAGCCGGGTAACCGCACCCCTCCATTCCTTCCGTCTTATCTCCGGCCGCCGGCGGGTCTGCCCCGGGTTTAGTAAAATTTTCATCCGGCGCTCTCCATCTCGCTGCAAATTTTATATTCCACAGCGAAACTGTTTCTCTTGTTAGAGGGTTCAATCGGTTGTTAAATAACTGGCATTTCCTCCCATATCGTTCCGTGCTGGGTTTATAGCCTTGGTGATCTTCGCGTGTGAGAAACTCTTGACCTGTGTGCTCTGCTGTCCTTGTCCTTGGTCCTTGGTATTTTCGACTGCTGTTCCAATTCTGACCTGAATCGATAACTCTCCCATCTCATCATCATCATTATCATCATCCACAAATGGCTAGAAACTCCATCAAACTTCTGACGTCGGACGTTCACTGTGGCCTGGCAGAGCTCGTTGCTAAGAGATTAGGTCTCAAGCTCACGGAGCTCAACATCAAGAGAGACTCATGTGGAGAGGTTTCCTTCGCCATCAACGAGTCGGTGCGTGATGAGGACATCTACATCATCATGCAAGTTGGTTCTGGTGTTGTGAACGACAGAGTCATTGAATTGCTGATAATGATCAATGCCTGTAAGACTGCCTCGGCCCGTCGTATCACCGCTGTGATTCCAAACTTCCCATACGCAAGACAGGACCGTAAGGACAAGTCTCGTGCGCCAATCACCGCTAAGTTGATGGCTGACATGCTCACCACCGCTGGATGTGACCATGTCATCACCATGGACCTCCATGCTTCACAGATCCAAGGGTTCTTCGACGTGCCAGTTGACAACTTGTATGCGGAGCCAAGTGTTGTGAGATACATCAAGGAGAACGTTGATTTCAGCAATGCCATCATCGTTTCACCAGACGCTGGTGGTGCAAAGAGAGCTGCTGGATTGGCAGACCGTTTGGACTTGAACTTTGCCCTTATCCACAAGGAGAGAGCAAGAGCCAACGAGGTGTCGAGAATGGTTCTTGTTGGTGATGTCACTGATAAGATCTGTCTGATTGTCGATGACATGGCTGACACCTGTGGTACTCTGGCCAAGGCTGCGGAGATCTTACTGGAGAACAATGCCAAATCCGTCGTTGCCATCGTTACACATGGTATCCTTAGTGGTAATGCTATTAAGAACATCAACAACTCCAAACTCGATAGAGTTGTCTGCACGAATACCGTGCCGTTTGAGGAGAAACTGGAGCTTTGTCCAAAGTTGGACACAATTGATATCTCTGGTGTATTAGCTGAAGGTATTCGTCGTTTGCATAACGGTGAAAGTGTCTCCTATCTGTTCCGTAACGCTCCTCTATAGCGTTCTTTCCCTCACCAGCACAACACTTACATACATAATCTGACATTTACTTATTTTGATTATCCACCTACGGGGTTTACTCATTTAGGACATGATGTTTCTCTTTATAAGTTGCATCTATACTAGAAACCATACTCACTAGGCTTGAACTCGGTCAGAGAGGAGAGAATGATACCTTGTTCACTGGTCAAATGTGAGTGCTCTTCACCGTCAAGAACCTTCAGTGCTCTATCATCTGGCACCCAGATGATGTGTGCACCGGCAGCTTTACCAGCGGTGATTCCTGGAACAGCATCCTCGAACACGAGACATTCTTCAGGTTTAATCTCTTCTTCGCCTTCTTTTAACTGCGAATTCAGAGATTCCAGAGCTGCTAGCCAGATATCAGGATATGGTTTGCCTCTGCCCTTTGGAACCCTCTCATCATCCCCAGTCACTATATGTTCACCAAATAGATCAAAGCCATCTTCTCTAAGGTGGCCTGTCTTACGCTCGTAGTTATATCTATTCGAAGAGGTTGCCAATGCAATTGGCACCTTCTTCTCATGTAGATACTTCAACAGTTCACGAGCCCCAGGTAAGAACTTACAATGCGACCACTTGGATTCCTGTCTAGCGATGTTTGCCTTAACCAGCTCCTCAGGAGTATACGGCAGGTCATAGGCTTCAATCAACAACCTAGCAGCCTTTAACGGTGTTAGTTTACATCTGTCTTTCTAGCACACAACGCACTGTGTATACTCACTTCAGGACCTGGACGTCCTTGTAATGTAATCTTCACATCCCATGTGAGTTCTCCCTTGCCATGCTCAGCCAATAGTTCGTTGGTAACCTCTGTGTATATGTCTTCTGTGTTTATCAGCAAACCATCCATGTCTATTCCAATGAGTTAGTACTCTCACATCACTGTAACTGGGAGCTATACATACCAAAGAGACACGCTCTATAATGATTCCTTTTTTCCATTGCTTGTTAGTAACGACAGCCAATTGAAAGGGTTTCTACCACCGTTTCCACTCACTTCTTAGTTCCAGACATTCCTTGAAGCGATCTTACACTGTAAACGAGTCACAACGTGGTGGCCGAGGACACCTTTCGCTATTTTTTTCAGGTTACGCTTATAAACTCATACAGCTCTTTTTTTTTTTCTTCAGCCAGGCATCCACTGGTTTCCATTGACACAACCAAAAGCTACAAAAGGTGATAAGAGAAGAGTAAGTTCATTATATCATAAAGGTGGAAGTGAGTTTCTGCACACAGGACACTGTAGCTTGTACTTCATCCATGCTTCCAAACAATTGGTGTGGAAGATGTGATGACATGGAGTAACCATATAGTGTCTTCTCTGTAAGAACGTTGTAGCCTGATCCAGATTGGACTTGTGAATTGGGATTTGAACCTCATTCATACAAATGGCACAGTCTATGCAGTAGTATCCAGCATCGGTCTTCAAAGGAGTGGATGCGGTGCTATTGGTTTCAACGTCTTGTGCTGCTGTAGGATGCATGTGTTGAACGCCGAATCCATGCTCCAAGTCGTTTTCAGAGAGTGCTGGATGGTAGTCATACGTCTGCGGTAACATTCTCTTAGGTAAGAAGAACCTGGCACCGAGTATGCTCTGTAACACCAAGATTGAGATCTGCATCAAGATCCATATTAACAATAGGGTAAAGAACTTCGGATCGTAGTGGTGTTCAAAGACGTTATCCTTCACAACAAAGGTGTAGAAGACTGGTGACAGTCTCACCAGTGTGGTGCCAAGAATGAACCACCACTTGAAAGAGCGATGTGAGCCTCTCACAGCGTTTCGATACGCTTGTGGTAACCAATAAGAGTTTAGGACCAACAGTACGAGCTTTTCAAAGTTCTCCCTGATAGATTTTGGCCATACGATGGAGTTTAAAACGACAAATGTAAAGACAATCAACGTGAAGAAGAACCTCGTGTATATGGCACCACTAACTTGTGATTCATCCTGGGGAATCGCAGTGGGCAAATTAGTGTTTGTCTGTGGTAAGCCTTGGTCTTCAGAGTCATCCAGTGGTCTTCCTTGAAGAGCAGTGAACAGGCTCAAACTTCTCTCGTTGATTTGCGACATGTAGATGTTGATCATGAATCTCATCTCAAACATTGAGGCCAGTATAAAGCAAAGGAAAGCGCTAACTGTTAATGGGAGGTATAACTGATTGACAACGGCAGATGCAACGAGGTAGATCATCGCTAAGGAACCATCCACCAAGCCCATTAGACATATACTCCAGAAGGAGATCCTTGAAATAGTTGATGGTGTGTTTGTACAGTTCATCTGCTTGACAGTTAACAAGATCTGTGTAAACAACAGAACAATGCCGATAATGGCCACCATGTGGTATCTGTAAACCTTAACCTCTCTTCTTGGGCCTTTAATCTTTGGAATTTCCAATCTCAGGGCACAATCTGGCGAGTATAGCAATCCTGTGAACTCCAGCTCGGGTATAGAATCTAGACTAATAGGACGACCAATGGGGGAGCGCAATTCTTCATCGATTTCCTTAATCTGATTCTTTGTGAGATTGACCTTGTTCAAGTGGAAATACGACACGTATTCACATCTATTCTCCGATTGGTCCAAGACCTGGGTCAAGTAGTTGAAACTGATATCAAAATTCTTCTCCTGTGGGGTCTTGAAGAAGTTCTCCTCCAAGTATGTCAACGAGATGTTCTTTGATAAGTTGAAGTTTTCCTCATTCATAGTCAAATGTTGCAGTCCACCATAGAAGCTAAAGAATTTGGCACTCACAGATGAAGTGACTAGGTTACCTGACTCGACAAAGTAGAAACCTTTTGTCTCAATTAGATGCTTTTCAGACTCCTCATTGTTTTGAATTTCAAAATCAATATTCACAATCTTGACTTTATCATCGAGCAGTGTAAAGGGTTTCTTGTTTAGCGACTCAACAACGCTTATGTCCATATGCAGAATACCTGATTCCATCGATATGTTACCAACTTTTTTATTCGCAGAAGTAGCCGTCGAGGTGTCTGAAGAAGGGATTGG